TTTTTGGCTATTTTTGCAAAGGGGAGGTTGGACCCGATGAGGGTTGCCTACGTATCCCACACCTGTGAGAATCAAATCGGTGTAGTTCGGGCAAAGAAACTAACTATATTTTTGAAAACAAGGCTCTTTCTTTTCATTTTCCATGGCAAGACAAACTATTTTTCCTTTTCTATTTTTGAAAACAAGACAAAATAACGACTCTCCCTTTCTTTTTCATTTTCAACAAACAATAAACAACCTATTTTTTCCAAACTAAAACAAAGACTCTTTTTCTTTTCATTTTCAACAAACAACTTTCAAAAAATAAAAGTCTCTTTTTCTATTTTTCCTTTGCTTTTTAGTAAATCAAACTATTAAAAATAAAACATTTTCCTTTTTCCATTTTCTCAAAATTTCGGCAGAGTTTCGACNTGAATTCTATTAACCTGGGAGAAGGTATTAGGCATTCCCGGGTTCCGTGGTTCTAGCACGGTCGCTCAACTATTGTATTTGATTTTATCTGATTCAAAACATGTTCTTGCTTATGGGCTTTTTAATTTTAAACCGCTTTTATTATTATTATTTTAACGAGAATTGCAACGTCGTAAAAATACGTCTCGAATCACGTCACATCAATGCACCCGTGGTTGTCAACACATTTCGACTCCGTTGAGATTTGGATTTGAGTCACATAAATGTGCACCCGTATTTAAGAATGTAATTTTATTAAAGTCGTGCTTAAAGAGTCTAGTGTATTATTATTTGGGGAAAGCCGTGAAATTCGCTAAACGGCCATCCCAAATTCTAATTAGCTTTCATATAACACTATTGAGGGCCCCACATTTGTATCTTTGTTCGGCGAGGCTCATCTCATTTTATTTTATTAAAAGTCCAACCTAAAAGTGACTACGATTTTCTATTTGTCTCTAAAATAAAATGAAATTCTAATTAATTATTGTTAGATAATGAGATCCACCACCTATCCCTTGGGTATTATTAGTCCATCTTCCATTTAATCTCATGCCCAAATGGCCCAAGCTGTGTGACCCAAGACGCCTCAACTGATCAGGCTTTGGAGGACAGATCGGGAGACCGATTCCCTGAGCTGGGCAACCCGTGTTTTTCCTAAACTATAACCAAACATCTCTGGAAACTGGGCCATCGGCAGCCCAGTCACGTAAGGCCCAACAGCAGGCCCAGATCTGCTACACTTATTTCAAATTACTTCACATGTGCCTAAATAGTTCACAACAGAATAACCAATTCATACAAGCCAGCTAAAGGCCCAATTCAAAATAATGTATTATTCAAATCACTATTACTAGATTAACACTCAAACACATTAATACTTCAAACCAGCTGGACTACGGAATTGAATCAAATGAGACACAGACCTCTTTTAAACTTGTTTTTTTTTTACGATCACCGGAAACAAATTCATGCTTAACAACACTCATTTAAACTAACACTAACAATTAACGATTGGAAACTAACATTATTCACTACCACATTACAGCATACTAGACTATTTAGAGTGTACAGTTAACCTGAAAGTCTATGCTACTGAATTCAGTGTTTAACTACCAAATCTATAATCAAATAAGGTGAGATTACTGATCCCATATAGTCCTCGCTAAGTACACATTCCACAGCTTCAAATTTCATCGAGTGTTAATCAGCTCAAAACATACTTCAACTATCATTTATAATGGAATAACAACAGACGCCTCATCCAGCGAGCAACTGCCCAAACATTTTATTTCATGCTTAATCTCGGAGTTACATCATCAATGAGTTCATGTGTGTACCTGAATATTGGACAGAAATGAGAGTAGAAATGGTCAGTTACAGCAACAGTCAAGCAGCAGCAACAATATTCGATTTCCAGCAGTAGAACGACGATCCAGTCCAAACAATAAACCCAGAAATCCAGAAATTTCAAAAATCCAAGCAGGAATAACAACACGAACCCAACAGCAACTTGAACAACCCACAATCACTCGTAAACAAACCACACAAGGTACTTTTGAGACCCTTTCAACCAAACAACAACAGAGACGAACTCAAATTCAAAATGCACTCAGCTTCTATCTATCAGCTATCAATTGTGGAATCAGAATATCGACATTAATTAGACCAACTTGAGATTGAATCAAAGTGATCAATGGAACAATAACACTTTTTTTTTTTGGATTTTTGAGTTTTGTTCTATTTTTTTTTTTGATTTTTTTTGAAATTTGAATTCCTATTTAAGATCTGGAACAAAAAAACTAATGAGAGGGGCTTGTTTTTTCAGTTCAAAGATGACTGGAAATCAAAAGAAGAACCCCTAACAAAACAATTGTGATCCCTTTAATAGACAACCCAGGTGAATGGTCAGATTTTTGCTTTTATTTCAAGTCTCTATTTAATTTCAACTTCAATCCCCTACTTCTTGCCCTGTGACTCAAGTCAACCCTCTATGTTAACTGAAATATGCCTTAACACCTACACCTAGAAGCTTCTAGGAAATTCTAGCTAAATTCCCTACCCCAAATTACCCCAATTGCCCTTAATTTAACCCAAAATTACTAAACAGAACAGCTATATCCAAAAGAGTCCTAGGGTCTGAACTTTCAACTAAAAAAAATATAATCCTATCTACTGGGATGAATTAACAGCAAATATTAAGAATAAATTAAGAATTAACAGCAAATATTAAGCAAATTAACATTCAAACAAATATGTAATCAAACAGAATTACAACTAAAATTAAGAATCATTATTCAAACGGCCAAACTGAGACAAACCTAATGAATAACTAATTAATCACCTAAAATTAGTATGAATCAAGCAGATAGGGATCAACAAGAAAGATGAAAAAGAAAAGTTATTAATCCCAGACTAAACATTGTTACCAAACAAATTAAGAAGCTATATAATCCTAGGAAATCAGTGAATATCAACAGAGGAAAATCAAAAATAAGAAAATGCACTCGAAAACTTACTGATTCATTTCAAAACTCCAATTAAATTTCCAAGTTTGAACACGACCAGCTCCGGCGGGAACAAAGCTCGATTGATGACCTATTCATTACGAGGAAGGCCCAGAGACTCTATGGCGTCACTTGCATGCGTTTGGGCATTTTAGGGTTTGGCCGGAAAGTCTTCGAGTTCAAATTCGAGCAAATCGGGCAATATTTGAGGGACACAATTATGGGGGTTGGATAGAGGAAGATTAGGCGGTTCTATGGTGTTATTTTGGGGTCATTTGGGGTAACCGGCGTCGTGGCCGGAAAACTTTGGACGAATATTCGAAGAGCTGGGCTGGGTTTTGAAGGGAGCTGTTTGTANTAGTAGAACGACGATCCAGTCCAAACAATAAACCTAGAAATCCAGAAATTTCTAAAATCCAAGCAAGAATAACAACACGAACCCAACAGCAACTTGAACAACCCACAATCACTCGTAAACAAACCACACAAGGTACTTTTGAGACCCTTTCAACCAAACAGCAACAGAGACGAACTCAAATTCAAAATGCACTCAGCTTCTATCTATCAGCTATCAATTGTGGAATCAGAATATCGACATTAATCAGACCAACTTGAGATTGAATCAAAGTGATCAATGGGACAGTAACACTTTTTTTTGGATTTTTGAGTTTTGTTCAAATTTTTTTTTTTGATTTTTTTTGAAATTTGAATTCCTATTTAAGATCTGGAACAAAAAAACTAATGAGAGGGACTTGTTTTTTCAATTCAAAGATGACTGGAAATCAAAAGAAGAACCCCTAACAAAACAATTGTGATCACTTTTATAGACAACCCAGGTGAATGGTCAGATTTTTGCTTTTATTTCAAGTCTCTATTTAATTTCAACTTTAATCCCCTACTTCTTGCCTTGTGACTCAAGTCAACCCTCTATGTTAACTGAAATATGCCTTAACACTTACACCTAGAAGCTTCTAGGAAATTCTAGCTAAATTTCCTACCCCAAATTACCCCAATTGCCCTTAATTTAACCCAAAATTACTAAACAGAACAGCTATATCCAAAAGAGTCCTAGGGTCTGAACTTTCAACTAAAAAAATGTAATCCTATCTACTGGGACGAATTAACAGCAACAATCATCAACTAAATACAAACTGTCATTAAATCAGACTTAACCAAATAACATTCAAACAAATATGTAATTAAACAGAATTACAACTAAAATTAAGAATCATTATTCAAACGGCCAAACTGAAACAAACCTAACGAATAACTAATTAATCACCTAAAACTAGTATGAATCAAGCAGATAGGGATCAACAAGAAAGATGAAAAAGAAAAGTTATTAATCCCGGACTAAACATTGTTACCAAACAAATTAAGAAGCTATATAATCCTAGGAAATCAGTGAATATCAACAGAGGAAAATCAAAAATAAGAAAATGCATTATGAGGAAGGCCCAGAGACTCTATGGCGTCACTTGCATGCGTTTGGGCATTTTAGGGTTTGGCCGGAAAGTCTTCGAGTTCAAATTCGAGCAAATCGGGCAATATTTGAGGGACACAGTTATGGGGGTTGGATAGAGGAAGATTAGGCGGTTCTATTTTGGGGTCATTTGGGGTAACCGGCGTGGTGGCCGGAAAACTTTGGACGAATATTCGAAGAGCTGGGCTGGGTTTTGAAGGGAGCTATTTGTAGATTTGAGATGAGGGAGAAGAGAGGATCACGGGGTGTTAATTTGGCCGTGAATGGTGACGGTGACGTTCACCGGCGGCGGCTCCGCCGGTGGTGCTACAGAGAGATACGAGGAAGATGAATACGGTCGTTTAGGGCTATACGTATATTAGGACAGTTTTATTATAAACCCAAGAGCCAATTGTGGCCGTTAGATCAAGGAGAATTGACGGCCAAGATTAGANAGCCAAGATTAGATGGTGAGAGGACGGCGTCGTTTTGGGCGATAGAGAGCTGGACCGGGTGGGGAATGGTTTTTGGGCTTGGGTCGGAAATGGGTTCTGGTGGGAATTTTTATTTGGGCTGAGGTTTGGTCAAATTAAAATGAGCCCAATTTTGGTCTCTTATTAAGACCACCCATTTTTAATTGTTTTTCCTTTTATTCCTTTTACTTATTTTTGTTTTCATTTTGAATTTTTGTATTTTTATTTTTTCTGATTTTATAAAAATGCAAGAATAAAGATAAAGTCCTAATATATTTCAAAGTTAAACTAATTAACTCCTACAATTGTTTAAAATCTATTTCGTGACGAATTCACAATTAAACAATTAAAAATGCAAAAGTGAACTATTTTTGTTATTTTCTTCATATTTTGTTCTAAAGCAAATTAACCCCTAATTAATCCATAAATATGAAATTAGATCCTAAATGAAAATGTATTTTTGTATTTTTTATATGAATTAAAATGCACAAATAAAATGCAAACAATTACAAGAAAATAACACAAAATTCACAAAAATTGTAAAATAATAAAGAAATTGTTTTGTTTGAATTTCTGGGAATAATTCATATATAGGGCAAAAATCACGTGCTCACAACTAGTGAATTTTCTCGCGCTTCGCGCGACTATGAATGATGTTAGTAATTTTTTGCATAAAATTATATACTTTGTTAAGATTGAGAAGGTATTTTCTGTCATTACATAGTATAATATACGTACAAAAACTAATTCGATAAATTGATGAAATCACAAATATAAATATTTTTATTAGAATTTTGATTTTCTCTCATTAAATAGTAAAAGTTTTGTTTTTCTAAAATTTACTCTCAAATATAATTAAACACATGAAATGAAAAGCAAATAGAAATAGGAAGGGAGAAAAGAAATAAATGTCAATGCAATTTGCAATGCCTGGTAGGTGTTAATTGAATTACAATTTGGACAGATACTTCTTTTCATGTTCTTTTTTATTTTTTTAATTGTTTTATTTTTTTGGTTTATATTCCTTAATCTCCTCAATTCTCCATTCCCTAAAAGAGCTGCTATTCTAGGAAATTTTCTATTACTGTATTTTCCTTATTATTTTTAAATATTTTCTGCAACGTTGTTATTTCTGGAATTAAGCCTTTTTTTTAATCAGCCCAGTAGAGCAATAAAACCAAGAGTAAAAGACTCAAAAAACATGAAAATAAATACTGGCCAAATTACCAAGAACTATGCATTAGGGAGAAGCATTTGTTTGCATATATATTTAACACATCTTCGCCGATTCTCCCAAGGATGCCTTTCTCTGACCTCTCCATAGAAAACCTCTCTCTAGAAAACCTAGAAGAAGAACCCTAGTTCTTCTCTTAGACAACAAAGTTCCATTCCATCAACTACTACTCATACGTCAAATGCAAGAAGAACAAAACTTAGGAAAACAACAGAATGCAAAAACCACACATGCTCTCTCAACGGCAAAGACGCAGAAATGGAAAGTATTGCAGAAAACAAAACAAATGCACATAGCTCTCAACAGCTCTTGAGCTCACTAATGGACAGCCCAGAACACTCTAATGGAAAACAAGACCAAAAAAATACCTTCTTATCCAAGCTGCAAGAAAATCAAGACACTACTCAAACCAAAAACCACATAACAGTACACAAATCTATCCTTGGCTTTGATACTTCGGATGAAACTGAAAACATCTTTGATTCGGACAACTTCATACCCATAACTTCAGAGGAGAAGGAAAGAATATACAAAAATTGGGAAAATGCTCTAATAATAAAAATATTCGGTAGACGAGTAACTTACCAATTCCTACAACAAAAAATCCATGCCATATGGAGACCCACGGAGCACCTATCACTGATTGACCTTGGATGCGATTATTATCTCATAAAGTTCACTAGACAGGAAAACTACGACAAAGCATTACACGAGGGGCCTTGGTTCATCGGAAATCAATTCCTCAGTTAGGAAATGGGAGCCTAGGTTCATAGCCTCAACAGCATCACTGACCTTCTCAGCTATCTGGGCTAGATTACCAGAGCTCCCAACGGAGTTCTACGACTATGAGATTCTTCACAAAATAGGAAACAAACTAGGGAAACTTCTTAGGATCGACGCGTGCACTACTTCAACCACCAGAGGCAAATATGCAAGGTTATGTATCCTAACACCCATTGAGAAACCCCTTATAACACACATCATAATAGGAAACCACTACCAAAAAATAGCCTACGAGGGTTTTAATCTCATGTGCGAGTCATGTGGACGACTAGGACACAATAAAATCAATTGCCCTCATACTGCATCTACTTCTAAGCCAAAACCTGCTACTAACAATGACATGAACATGGAGGTTGATACCCTAACCAAAGTAATAGACCATTGGACAATAGTGACACATAAAAAAAATGCAATAAAAAGATCACTACCTATTACTAACCAAATCGATGAATCTGCCAAGACCACTACTGGGCAACAAGGCATGACAAGAGTCAAAAATGGAGAAGTCCCAATTGACAACTCACAAGGGCAACAACAGAAACATACGACCAACCCAAAAAACCTGTTAAACCCAGTGGACAAAAACAATTACCCTTGCAAAAACCATATCTCAGACAACAATACACTAGACAACCCTATCAACATGGACCAAAAAACTATAGGCAAACCTAGTTGCTACAACACCCAAACAGTACCCCTGCCAAAAGCACATTGGAAAACCAAACACCCCTACCTTTATCAAACATCTCCACATCACAATTAATGCCCCACTTCAATACCTTAGAGCCCACAGAACCTGCAACAAAAAAGGAGGTCAAACCTACGTATAAACCTAGCGGGCAACTTCCTATGAACCAGGAGACAATGCAAAAATCTGGAGACTCCGTACAAAACCTAACTACAAAGGACAACTCAATGGATATAGACCAAAAGCAAAGCTTAGGCAAAGCCCCATCAACATTAATTAGCGATTAGAATCATCCTAAGACTAGGCTTCCCACCTCCAAAAAAGAAGACATTACCTCAAATGATCTCCTGTCACAAATCACTCCAACAAAAACAATTGAAAAACTCCTTTCGGACCAAAAAGCTGGTCATCCCATCCCAACAGACGTGTACATCACCCCTATGTATAACAAGTTGAACTATTTATCTACTAACTCAAACAAGCCCTCATCATCCAAACACTCATCTCCCATTCTGCCAAAAACCAAAGAGCAGAACCATGGTCAGATCCCACCACACAAATTACCAACGCAGATACAACAGGAACATGAGGAATGTTTGGATGAGAAATCAAACAAGAACACCTCACCATGCACACCATGCACCATACCTACCCATGAACCCTCCGGAGCCAATAATATACACAACAACACCATTACCAATGAATCATGCT